GTCTTTAGTGACGAATCTCGATTTTGTTTAGGCATGCACGATGGTCGTGCCAGGGTTAGAAGGCGACGTGGTGAAAGGAGGAATCCACAGTTTTTTGTTGAAAGACATGTTCATCACACTGTTGGAGTTATGGTTTGGGGTGCTATAGCTTATGGTTCCAGGTCACCTTTAACCTTCATCAGAGGTAACATGAACGCGCAGCGTTATATCCACGAAGTTCTAGAACCCCATCTTTTACCCTATCTTGACACCCTAGCAGATCCAACTTTCCAACAAGATAATGCCCGACCACATGTTGCAAGAGTCACAATAGACTTCTTTCAACATAATGATGTCACATTGTTACCATGGCCACCAAGATCTCCCGACTTATCCCCAATTGAGCACGTGTGGGATATGATGGGTAGGAGATTGCTCAATTTGCAACGTCTTCCTCAGACTCTAGAAGCACTTCGAGAGGAGTTGGTGGTTGCCTGGAATGAGATACCACAGGAGGACTTTGACCACCTGATCAGAAGCATGCCTAGGCGCGTTGGAGAATGCGTAGCACATCAGGGTGCATCCACACATTATTAAAAGTCAAAGGGCTTTAAAGCAGTGCAATCAATTTGAAATTTTTATCATTTACTTATTATGCTTCATTAAGTACTTATACAAAATTTTATTAAAATAAAACTATTTAAACTGGGTGATCGGATTTATATCTCACTTAGTATAGATGGTAGCTCCATATATGTACCTATCTTAATCAAGTTTGCAATTTCTCCCAAAATCCTGCGCCTCTCACTAATGGGGCCTCCATCAACTGGCATTAGGCGTATCAGAGATCGGGACCTTGTCAGTGGTGAGCCTGGTATGTTCAATGATTTTCAGATCTGAGCATTGGCTTTTATCGTTCACACATTGGTGTTGGCCTAGGTTGGCACCAATGTGTGAGTGGCAAGACTTAATTTTTGAAAATCGTTATCTTAATATGGCTCAAGCTGTGTTTGTGATATCGACATGAAGATTAGAATCAGGAGTTTCTCTGATGAGGAATGTGGAATGACTGGTACTTTCCAAGTTTTAGCGGGGCCTAGAACAGACCGACCAACGGGTGGTACGGTTTTTTGTGATGTTATAATAACAATTATGGCCTTTATTGACAAAAAAAATGGTACATTACTTGGTGCGAGATTGACACCTGCTATTCTACAGTCTAGCCCCGCAAAAGTGTGTAAATGGATGGATTGTCACAATCCCATTTAATACGCCGATTCACTTATAAAAATAAATAAAGATCAATCGGTTATAAAGATCGGGAAAAATAGCTGAAATACGAAGTATGAAAACGAAACCTAGTGGTTGTTCTGTGATTCTTGTAAATGCCTTTATTACTCTGGATATACTGGATAGTCTTAAGACATGTACATGTCATGTAACACCCAAGAAATGTATCATCTAACTTTCGAAATTTTTCGCAATTACAGTACTCTTTCGCCTGTTGGCGCGGGAAGTAAAAGGCATATTTAGCTCAGTATCATTATTTTGACCATAGTCCGTCTATCAGAGAAAGAAATTAATCTCAAACATATTTATATGCCTTCACGTGATCGAAGTCCAGAACGTCGAGCTGGTTTAGGGCCGGTGAGCCTACGTACACCGCCGTTTCGACTGCCATTCCGTCTTCCTGGTTTTGCGTTGGTCCTGTATATGGGCTCCGATTCTGCCCAATAACAGTAATGCTCTTTGTTTCTTGTAGCAAACCAACGTGTTTAGTGTCTTTTTTGGATAAATAGACTTTAGTCTAATCTTTTAACGGACTCATTATGGACCACGCTGTATTCATGGACGAAATCGTGATACATCTCTTAAGAACTGTTCATCTGTACAATCCAAGCGTGATCAATTACTGATTTAATTTTTTCGGTTCACTGTAGATGTCGTTTTGCTGGTATTGGTCTTAGATCACTGTACCATCTTGGTCACGATTAGGTATGCTTCGAAAGTTGATGTGCAGTCATCGACAAATACACCGTTAGCTACCATACATGGTAGATTGTCTGAAGAATCGTTTCTTTCTTTAGCTTGAAGAAATGCGTCAAGTAGATTGACTTACGCCTTTCATAATCGGGGTTGGGGTTTGTAGGGGGTTCAGTGGAAGATGTTGGGGAGGTTGAATCTCAATTATTTATTGACAATATGCTTAGATGCTTCCAATAATTCGACTTTTAGACATATTTCTTATATATTTCTCCGTTCATTCGCTCTGTTTTACCGATGCGATAAGTGTAAGCTTTCTAGTGGGTGGTGGCGGCCGTGGTGCCGTACCAGGCAAGTTAGCAGTGGTGAGGTTAGTCATAGCAACGTTGCCAGATGGTCGGTACTGACGGTAGAGCATAGGAGAAATTTCTGGACTAACTGTATGTGCATGTTTGACTGATTTGGTCCGTTTAATTTCTTCGTTATATAAATTCGTTGCTAATTTTTCGTCAGAGGGGCTAACTTGTGCGGAACATGATTCTTTATGACCTGATGACAGCGGTTTTACTATGAACATCATGTCGCATAATATCTCGTTTGTCGCTGAATCTGTACGATAGCTTCTTTCAATCTAGATTAGTCGCAGTGACGTACCACTGATCGAGGTAACAACCTGAATCACGTGCTGCACCCTTTGTAATATTCACGCTTATAAGCGTACACCCGTTCCACATGCCTAAATTTCGGGTTTTGTCTCATGGAGTTTCACATCTATTCTGTATACGCGGGACATTCGGCTTTGCTCTGATATGGAGATGCCCATTGACAGCGTGACGTACACTAAGTGGCATATAAACACCCAGAATTATTTATTGAATTTTGATAAAAACATTGCTAAAGGCTGTTTTGTGATATCAGGATCCGAACAATATGAACATATTTACTTGATATTCAGTGATTTTTCTGTGTTGGTTCCATTTGTTTCATTGGGCTCTACGCAACCAAATTCAGATGGCCTGGAATACAATTAAAATTTTAATCGCTTTTTACCTATAGCACTCTTAGTCGGTGTTGCATTTTCTATGACATTTAGTATATTTCATAGAGGAAAACCATGGAAAAAACCTACTATGAAGTTTGCTGAAAATGGAATATCATTGAGAGTTTAGGTAAATCGTCGCTAACAGCGCGTAACTCAAAACTGGGAACTTTTTAGGAGAGCAAAAATAATGAATTTCCTGTCGAACGGCATGCACACCTTATAATCTTCCATGTTTGTGTAGCCGCTAAATGAAACCATATATAATATAAATCTAATGCTCGAGGCGTGGATGTGATAAAGTTATTCCTCCCAGGCATTTCTAGTTCCTTGGTTCACGTTCTAAATTGTTTCATAGAGACAGAATATTTTCCCCAACCGTGGAAGCTGTCACTAGTTATGCCACTTCCTAAATTCAACAATTCAGAACAAGTTAGTGACTTAAGAAATATCAGCATTTTGCCAGTTCTATCCAAAGTATTAGCGAAAATAATCTACAAACGAATTTTAGAGTTTACTTGTAATAACAGTATACTACCTCAGGAGCAGTGCGGTTTCCGAAAAGCATTATCTGTTGTAGTTGATGATACAATCTCCAATTTGGGTAACAACCTGGCAACAGTTCTCGTCTCTCTCGATTTTAGTAACGTTTCCCAGCGTCATATCTTAAAAACAGGTGGTTCTGGGAACAAGTATTTCAAATTTGCGAAATGTTTCTTCAGGGGTACCACAAGGTTCCGCCCTATAGCGCGTCTTGTTCTTAATACAGTGGACCCCCGATAATCCGGCCCTTGTCTAATCCGGCGCCCCCTGTAATCCGACATGTCTTTGAATATTTATTACATACATACGTATTTGACAATCTTCGCTAATGTAGTTCACGCACGTTTGAACAGGTTACAACTTGTGCGTGCCAGCGCTATCGTGCTCGACGCGTAAGCATTGTTTTACTTAGTTTGAATTTGACTAGCGTGCTTTCATTGTTTACTATTTATTCATTGTGTATTAAGTATAGTACCTAGTAATGTCATCACAAACTCAGAAGCGACAGCACAAAACATTGACAATTAAAGAAAAATGTGATATTTTAGACCGCTTAAATCGCAATGAAACTTTCAGTAGTTCAGCAAGTGAATACGGCGTAGGCCTATCTGGGTGATTCTCGGAAAATACTATTTTTTTGCGTTTCTGTTGATAAAATAATGATACGTTAAGAATAATAAGCGATCACTGTTGAAACTGGGATCTTACAGATAGAAAATATCAAAGCACAAAAAAATTTTTCTTTAAAACTGAAATTATAATTTTTTTTATTGTTTTATGACTGAAAAGTCATATCCTCTGGCTGTTACCAGGCATATTTTCTATGTTTAACACATTCAAACAAGATCTATTTTCTAAATAACGTTGAGAATACTTTACCTTGCTAAGAACAGATCATCTACAGCATGAAAACTGGGCCCGTGAAATAAAAAAAGGAAAAATATGTTTTGTATCAAATGCATTTTCATTGTTACCATACTTTCAGGTCAGTCCTCTGCCACAAGCGGTTTGTTCAACTGTTCACTCAAAGATGGCAGTACATGTCTATTTCCACTGATAATATTAGCGGAAGACATCTTAATTGCACTTTTATGACGTTTTGACGCGAATATTGATTCCCATTTGTAGGTTTTAGTACAATCTTAGCAAAAGATCAAGTGTCACAAACGACTAATCAGTCCACTGGTAAGTGATGTATCATATAAATATATATTTGTCGCATTTGTTCTTATCGCTTACACGTCTGTTTCTAATATCGTTACAAAATTGTGTAGAAAGTGAGGTTATATTATGTATCTATGCTACCAATCAGTGCAAGTTTAGCGGAACCGTCATTCCTCTGGCGTCAATCCTCTGGCTCTCAAGAGCCCAGAGGAATGACGGTGAGAGCAGAGGAATGATTGTGTCTTGATAAAATTGATAAGTAACCAGCGATTGAACTTTATAGGTACAAAAAATGGCTAGGACTAGGCAAACAACTCCACAAACAAAAGAGGAAAGGCTTAGAAAAAAACGGGAAGCAGAAAGAAGGAGGTATTACCGCTTAAAACAGGATCCTGTCGGAAGAGAGCAACTCAGGCAAAAGGAAATCGCCCAATACTTGAGAAAAAAGGAAAAAGAAGTCATAAAACCCATTGAAGGGACAAGAGAAGAAAACGAAAACAATGGAGAGAATATTCTCAGAAGTACAGAAACAAGAAAAGACAGATAAGAATGGAAAATGAACGTCTAGTACGTAGAGTGCATGAAGACACGCCACCGTTGTCAGAAGAAGAACGAGAAAATCTACCTACTATGCCTGAAAATCACCAAAGGGTTTCGGGAAAAAGAAGGTACGCAACAAATAGGAAAAGGAGAAGCCGTGAAAACAAATACAAACACGAATTAATCAAGAAGCTGCAGCTTAAAGTACAAAAATATAAGCAAAGGTATCATAGGCTGAAAAACATAAAATTAAATAAAAATGATCCATCCTCACCCAGAGGCAGGGCCATACAAATACTGGATGAAGATAAAAAAATTGCTTTTTGCTGAAGTAATGTCCGACCAATTAAAACAAAATTATGAAAACCTAAATAGCACGAAGCAAAAGCAAATCTTTAGAATGTTGTAAGTGGAGAGATAGTAAAAAAATATCGTGTAAAAAAATGTGTGAAAGCCCTTCTGCATGGGAGCAATATTTTAGACGGTAAAGAAAATGATATTTTACAGTACTCTACAAAGAGGCGATCTGATCCCCAGAAAATTAATGCAATTTGGAGGTTTTTAGACAATGATCTTCATAGCAAACTATGTCCAGGAAAAAGAGACTACTGCAAGAGAAATAAGGTGATAAAACAAAAGCGATATCTATGTAACACAATGCGTAATTTGCATAAAGAGTTTTCTATTCGTTATCCTAATATTCCAGTTAGTTACTCATTTTGGTGTAAGAATCGACCATTTTGGATTGTCCCACGAAAAGTAACATCTCGCGACACGTGTGGATGCACATGTTGCTTTAATATGGCTTTATTAGTTCAAGCTTTAAATAGGATGAAAGTCCTTACAGAAGGTAATGTTTTCGAGGTCACCAGAACATTTTGTTGTGCACTTCGCGAATGCCTAAAATGCAAAGATAATACGATTTCTTATAAACCATATCAAAGCACTGAAGTCGGACATTTTTTCAAATGGACTACGAGAAAAGAGTCTTATTTTGATAAGTACCAGAAGCAAAAGAGTATGACTAAAACCATCAAGCAAAAGCTTATCATGCCTTTGAACGAAATGATTTTTGAGTTTGAAGGATCAATCATAAACTTCTTGAAACATAAAGGTAGATCTCTGCATCAGTATAACCAAATTTCTAAGAAAAAGGAAAGTTTGATGCCGAATGAAGTCATGATCCACGTGGATTTTAGCGAGAACTATTCATTAAAACATGCGGAGGAAACTCAAGCATTTCACTTTGGTGGTTCGCGCCAACAGATTTGCCTCCATACTGTAGTTATCTATTTCAAGTCCAATGGCATTGTTCACTCGAAGTCATTTTGCACACTGTCCCAGAGTCTGAAGCATGATGTATCAGCAATCTGGGCACACCTTCAACCGATCTTGTCATACATTTCAGAAGTTCATGTTGCAGATACACTTATCTTTGTCAGCGATAGCCCTGCCACGCAGTATCGGAATAAAACTATGTTTTATTTCCTGGCGAATAAACTCCACCATTTATATCCAAAAATCAAGGTGTGCTCTTGGAATTATTGGGAGTCTGGACACGGCAAGGGTGCTCCAGATGGTGTTGGTGGAGTCACAAAGCGAACCGCTGATAGGCTTGTGGCTGAAGGAAAAGATATAAGTTCATATGAAATCCTTCTTAATAGTCTGCAGAATAATATCAAAAACATAACCTACTTTTCAATTGACGATGCAGATATAAATAAAATCAGTGATTTAATCAAGAAGGACAGCATAAAGCCTTTTGTCGGTACAATGCAGGTGCATCAAGTCAAAGTTGAGGATTACACTGCAGGACTGTTAACATTTTTCAGGTTGAGCTTATTTGATGTTCAAAGTACGAGTTATTTTTGTGGAATCTTAGATTACTCTGATGAAGACAATGGATACACCCAGATAGAGCCAGAAGTTAGCAGCGACTCTGATGATGATTTGCCCTTAAGTAACCTTGTTTGTCATAAAAAGAAGATGCAAAGAATTCATTACAATGGCGTCTACTCTGATGATGAAGCCGGCCCAAGCTCAAAAATATATCAACACGATTTGGTGCCAAGTAACATTATAAAAGATACTTATGTGCTTGTTGAGTATAAAACAAAACTAACAGGTTATCGTTATGCAGCGGTTGTCCAAAACGTACTTGATGATGACGAAGTTTTGGTGATGTTTTTGAAGGTGTGCAAGTTCCAGAATATGCAAGCATTTAGAGCTAATGATAATGATACGTCCTTTGTCGGTTATGATCAGATAATTGCGATTCTACCACCACCGAATATTTTTGTCAAAGGAAATAAAACATATTATAAATTCCATAACGATGTGGACGTGTTCGAATGCATCCCAGTTAATACTTAGCATTTTTCATTTATTAGTAGTTATAATTTAGAGTAAGCGATCAGGTTTTCTATTGTTCCCTTATTTACTTGTCTTTCCTCTGGCTTGAAGCCATTTTCGTAAGTTGGGATAAATAATTTGTACGTTGTATTCTTATGAATGTTTTTTTAAGTTCGACTTTTCAAATTCTATCAAAAAGTTTGTTGGTTTTGATATAAGTAGGTAGTACATTGTTGAGTATTTTCACATATGATCATTCCTCTGTCCTTGGAGGTCATTCCTCTGTAAACAGTATTCCATATATTATGTTCTGAATTTATAAAATGAAGAAAATATATGTGTTCCTCTGTGCAGAAAGTGTTTCATTCAATATTCAAACTGTATCCATAAGTCAGGGACCTTTTTGTCAAGTTATATTTTTTTCCAAATAAAACCTTCAAAAGAACTGGTTATGGAGAATCACCCATCTACAATTTATGACATGAAAAGAAACCACAAAAAGATCAAGAAGTTCGTGTCCACTACTGACTGCGGGCCAGGCAAAAGACAGACACTCAAGAAAGCTGATCATCAAGAAGTGGAAGAAGCTTTGTACATGCGGTTTCTTCAGGAAAGAAATATGCATGCACCAATTTCAGGACCCATGTTGACCATGAAAGCTAAGTTTCTTTATAAGGAAATAATAAAAAAGATGATTTTGTGGCCAGCAAAGGATGGCTAGAACGTTTTAAAAGTCGTCATAGCATACGTTTAATGACTATTACAGGAGAGAAACTTTCTAACGATGCCACCTGCATAGAGCCCTTTAAATTAAGATTTTTGCAAAAGGTGAACGATTTAAATCTTGACCCGTCACAGGTGTACAATGCAGACGAATCAGGGCTTTTTTGACGTGTGACTCCTAACAAAACTTTCGTTTCTTATAACGAAAAATCCGTACTTGGACGAAAAGAGTAAAGAGTAAAGAGCGTGTAACCATACTACCATGTGCTAACGCTGCGGGCACACACGCGCTTAAGATAGATAGATAGATAGTCTTTATTGTCTTTTGGTCATAAATAGCTATGACATAAGACTTGTCAACATTACATATACAATACATAAGTATGCGATATGCAAAAAAAGAACAGGTAGTTAATTAAAACGGTAATTGAGATAATAAATAATAAACAAATAAATCAATAAAATAGTAGTCATTACAAACACAAACAAATTCTCAATGACATCTAACGAACATGAAAAAATAAATAAATAAAATAGGAGTCATTACAAACACAAACAAATTCTCAATGACATCTAACGAACATGAAAAAAAAAATCTATTTTAAATAAATAAAAACAATTGAGCGCTTAAAATGTCTAGAAGAGGAGCAATAAATAGACTGTTTCTTTTCCGTTAAGCTTAATAAATAAATAAAAAGAATAAATAAATAAAATTAAGCAGTTAGGTATTCGTCGACGGTGTAGTAACACTTTTCGGATAGATATCTTCTCAGACGTTTCTTTAATGTCAACATATTAGTGCTTCTGCGGAACTCAATTGGTAGTTTATTGTAAATTTTTGTACAGGCATAGAGTGGTGATTTCTGAAACTGGGCTGTTGCGTGGACTGGTATACTTAAGTCAAAACCTATTCTGGTGTTGTAGTGCCTGTTAACTGTGTTATTTTGAATAAAACTGGTCCTATGTTTAAATGCGAAGAGAGCGCATTTATATATATAGATGGATATTAATGTTAGCAGATTATATGTTCTGAAAATATCTTTACAAGAGTCTCTTTTGTTGATATTGAAAATCAGCCTGAGTACTCTTTTCTGCAAGATGAAGACTCTGTTGTTCATGACTGCTTGTCCCCATAGTATTATATTATTGCTAAGATGCGGGTAAGCCAAGGCGTAGTAGATATCTATTAGAGCTGTTTGGGAGATGTTTTGTTTGAGTTTCAAGATTGCAAAGTATGCACTATTGAGTTTCTTAATGACATGATTCACATGTGACTGCCAGCCCAACTTCCCATCAATATGAGTTCCTAAGAATTCGGTTCCGTCTGAGAAGATATCGTTGTGCAACCGTGGTTTGCTATTGTAGACATGCACATACATTGTTTTATCAGCGTTTAGTATAAGGCGGTTTGATACACACCAGTCGTTCATTTCTGTTTCAACTCGCTCAATTGCTTGGAGCAGGTCAACTGGTGTTGCTGCACTAACTACTACTGACGTATCATCAGCGTAGTTGACCATATGGCCAGATAGTTTTAGGTCGTTCATAAACAAAATGAACAGGAGTGGCGCTAGTACCGAGCCCTGGGCTGCACCAATGCTTATGTCATACACCCCCGACGAAGAACCATTCACTCTTGTTTTAAGCTGTCTGTTTGATAGAAAAGAAACAAGCCAGCGTAAAAGAAAGTCCCTAATACCGAGATTATACAGCTTCTGCTCGACGAAGTTTATGTCTATTATATCAAATGCCTTCGAAAGATCGAAAAACAAGCCTGCAACATATTTATTAGAATCAATATCCTCGTAAACTTTGTTAAAAAAGTCAAATGACGCTGTTTCTATGGATCGTGAAGACCGGAACCCATGTTGACTGTCTGATATGGTCATTGGGAAATCTAATAATCCACGGGTATTCAAAAACATTGATTTACCTGTAGACTATTACGGACAAAAAAGTGCACGGATGACAAAAGACCTTTTAAAAAAGTAGTTTGATGAATGATTCGTACCTGAAGTTAGAAAATGGTTAAAAGATCATAATTTTCCTCAAAATTCGTTATTGCTTCTTGATAACGCTCCCTGTCATCCGTCTGAAGAAGAACTAACAACTGAGGATAAATGCATCACTGCGATGTTTCTTCCGCCAAATTGCACTGCCCTGATTCAACCAAAGGACCAGAATATCATTCAGTTTGTCAAGCAAGACTATAAGAAAAACCTACTTCTGAAAGCCGTATCAAAAGACCAACCAAT